AATTGATTTTAGTTAGATCCTTAAGCAAAATTGATTCTAAGATTCTAATATAATAATTCCAAACTTAAAATTTAATTATAGCTAGAACATATGATATTCTTTTGAATTTTTGAGATATTTAGTAAATAAAACCTCTTTTTTGGTTGGTAAGATATTTTAAATTTATTAAGAGTGTTATACAATTTATAGAATTCGAGTGAGAAGGTTCTAATTTAATTGAAAAGCAAAGTTATTTTAATGAAATTCGTATATTTGATTTAGGTGTAAAGTCTTAAAAACCTGAAAAGAAATGTTCCAACTTTTTGATTATTTTAAATCTAAATTATTTGAAATAATAAGGTTTACAATATCATTAATAGATTCTACCTTATTTTAAATAATATTGTATTCAAAAATCTTTATAGTCTAACCATGTGATGTCTAAGAAATATGACCTATAAAGAATCAAATTAAACAAAATAAAGAGTAATTTATAATCCTACATTTAATTGATAAATTTTACTATCCTCACTGAAAGAGCTGATAATGTTTAGCTTAAAAAATAAGCTATTAAAAGTGAAGCAATTACATTTAAAAAGCAGAAAGATGATATTAAAAATGAAAAAAATGTTATTGTATAAGAAAATAGAAAAATCAAATAAGAGATAAACATCTGGTAGGATAAACATCATAATTTAGTTAAATGTGCTGCAGAAACTGAACCTAAGGTAGAGGCTAATAAAGATTTAGCTAATGAAAGTGATGAAAGATTGAATGGATTGAAGATCGATTAAAAAAAAGAAGAAGAACTATATTTAAAAACTTAAGGAAGATTTATGATTTTAGTTAATTTACATAATCTTTTGTTATAAGACAAAGTGTTTCTTTTTTTTATCAGCCCACTATTAAATCAATACCGTTAAGGCCAGTGCACATTAAAGAAAATTATACTCTATCCTATTTCTCAAACCTATGAGGCCAATTCTTTAGGGTAAGATCTTCAAAATTTTTGAATTTCTCATAGTTTTTAATCATTAAATTTGAACAGTAGTGACTATTTATCCTTATTTTGATTATTGAATATCTTATTTTTATCTTATGATTATTATTGACTTATTAAAGTTTTTACATCAGTATTCAAAATTTTGCATTTTATTTTATTTATAATAAACTCTCAAAACTTCAAGTTTTTAATAATTGAATATCCATTCTTACGATATCTTCCTTTTTAATGATTAGGAATTCTTTTCAGAACATACTTCATTCTGTAATTGTAGATGATAACTTAATATTCTTTTTAAGAAAATAAAAGATTCTAAATATTATTTTATATTTAATTTAAATGATATGAGGGTAATGTTTGATAATTTAAGCTAAATTAAGAAACAAGATAATGCCAAAATTGAGTATTCTTGTTCCTTGATAGTCTAATAGCAATTAAATGAACTTGAAGGAGTCAGATACCAAAATTTTATTATTTTATCATGTGATCCACCAATAATAAGATTTTCTGGGTTAGGGTATATAATTAGACATGAAATTTCATAAGCGTGTTTTCAGTTTCATCAAGTATCTTCCTTTAAACATTTAATTATATGACCATACAATAGTGGAGAACAATATTATCCTGTAAGAATTAAAGATCTAGTCATCAAAGTTGTTATTGCAAACACATCTTTTTAGGTGTTGATTTGAGAGAATTACTTCAACATTCCATTTATTAATTAATAAATCTTGAGGCTTTTTTGTTGAAAAAAAACAAGATTACATCAATTGAAAGGGCACGGCATTTAAATTAATTAATTTTTAACCTAGATAGAAGTTCATAGCTGAAATATTAATAATATTTATAAGTCTATTTTTTAGGTCCCTGCTGTTATTTGTTTTAATTTATTTTAATTAAAAATGAAAAGCAGCTAAAATAAGACACATTATTAATGATTGGAGATTAATTAAGGAATTAAAAAAAGTAAAATTGTTTTAATATTAAAATTTCTAGTTTATTTTGTTATATATTGAAATATAAGAGAAATAATTGAGTAAAATAATGATAATAACATATGTAAAATTTCAAATTAGAAATTATTTAGATCAATAAAAAAGGTTTAAGTAAAACTTATTTAGTAATATAAATTAAAAATCATTCAACTGGGTTTAAAAAATAACCTTTACTAAACTATATTAATTATTTAATATAAATTTTAATTGAATAGAGTAATTTATGAAAAACTATTTTATTAAGCACAATGTTAAAATATTTTTTTTATTGATTTTAGTTAGATCCTAAAGCAAAATTGATTCTAAGATTTTAATATAATAATTCCAAACTTAAAATTTAATTATAGCTAGAACATATGATATTCTTTTGAATTTTTGAGATATTTAGTAAATAAAACCTCTTTTTTGGTTGGTAAGATATTTTAAATTTATTAAGAGTGTTATACAATTTATAGAATTCGAGTGAGAAGGTTCTAATTTAATTGAAAAGCAAAGTTATTTTAATGAAATTCGTATATTTGATTTAGGTGTAAAGTCTTAAAAACCTGAAAAGAAATGTTCCAACTTTTTGATTATTTTAAATCTAAATTATTTGAAATAATAAGGTTTACAATATCATTAATAGATTCTACCTTATTTTAAATAATATTGTATTCAAAAATCTTTATAGTCTAACC